CCGCGTCCTGCCCTTCGCCGCCGGCGATGTGCCGTTTGGTACCGCGGTGCCGGAGCTGGTCCGGGGATGGGGCCTCTCCAGGGCTGCTCCGGCAGCAGCCGGTGCTTGTCTGCGCTGGGCTGAATGGGATTTCTCCTTGAACGCAGCCCTGCAGGCGTGTTTTTGGGAGCCCACCTTCGGCTTGGCTCCCACTGAGCATCATGCCCCCGTACCCCGGCGCTTGGCAGCTGTCTTCATTGCCTTCTGTCCCTTTAGCTTGGCGTTTGGCAGCTCCTTTTGTCGCCGGGATCGCATCAGGGTGGGCTGGCAAGCCATGGGCAGCCAGCTCTTCCTCCCGTCACGCCTGGGTGTCCATCCAGAGCTGGCCCTGCATGGGGACAGGTCAGACTCCATCATCCGGGTGAGCTGGGTTGACACCACCAGCATCGCTGGGCACCGGCCACTGAGCCCGTTCGGCTTTCCCAGGCACCGCCTTCATTTAAGGAGAATAATCTCGTGTTTGGGGAAGATGCTTAATTGTGCCAGCTCTGCCTCCCGTCACGCCTGGGTGTCCATCCAGAGCTGGCCCTGCATGGGGACAGGTCAGACTCCATCATCCGGGTGAGCTGGGTTGACACCACCAGCATCGCTGGGCACCGGCCACTGAGCCCGTTCGGCTTTCCCAGGCACCGCCTTCATTTAAGGAGAATAATCTCGTGTTTGGGGAAGATGCTTAATTGTTCTGGCTTCACCAAAGAACGGGTGAAGTGTGGCAGGGGCAGCACAGGTCACCTTGTCACCCAGCCCTGCTTCCCTGGGGTGGCCCTGGTGTGAGAATGAGAGCACTCTGTCCAGAGGTAGTCCTTAGTCCTTCTTTTGTTGTGGGTGGTTTACTCTTTTTTTTTAACAATTATGATAATTTTTTACAATTAAATGTCAATTCGAGTGTTGACTTTAAAGGAATCATTTGTTCAGAAGTACTGACAGACCATCAGAGGTTACCGGGCCAGGTTGTGTCATCTGAAACCACACAGTACAGTCTGTTTAACGCTTTACTGACCTGTCCTTCTGCTTAGATTTTTTTCCCCTCCAAGAGCTGCAGATACACTTCTCCTGTGTTGTCTCTCACATCTTCTCTGCTTTTATAAATGTGCATAAAAATATGGCCAAAGGTGTATGACAGCACGGCAGCTATGAATGCTGTGTTTGCATCAGCCCAAGTGGAGACAAATAAAAAAATTTAGCAGGGCAGACTCTGATCATGCACTGTTTTTCTTGACAGCTGGTTGGTTTTTACTTGGTATTAGTAGGTTTCGCTGCTGCTCTTTTGTTAAGAATAATTCAGAGCTTCCTTGTTATCAAGGCCACGGCTGGAATAGCCTGTGTTTGCCCATCTGGAAAACAGTGAAGACAAAAGCTAGTGTGACTGAAACAGCAGACGTCACAGGGCTGTACGATGCTAAAATGTACTACAAAAAAACCCCAAATCTCTACTTAGTCCAGGGGAAAAAAAACAACAAAATGAAAACCAAAGCGATTTTAACAAGCCTGCTTGTTAATGTAAATACTTTGCTTTTTCTTCATCGCTTTCATTAAAACTGTTTCCCTTTTTAACGTTTGTAAACCCTAATGCTGTGCTTGGAGGAGGGATGTGAGGGGATTTTGCTGGGTCAGCAGACCCGTCCCAGTGAGACTGGTCAAGGAGGAAGGGAAGAAGTAGAAGGAAACTGAGTACAGTCACACGGCACAGATAACCCCTCAGAACTAAGGAAACCCCACATTTCTTGCCTGAAGTGCTGTGGGGGTGGTTTTGTGCTGTTTTCTTTTTTGAGTGCAGCTGAACCAGCAGGCAGGGGGTGTCCTGGCAGAGCAGGCTGCTGGGCACGGACCCCTTCCCATTCAGTTATCAGGTAACTTAAAAAAAAAAATTAAAAAAAATTCTAGGCCTTCCTTTCTGAATCCTGTCCATGTGGGACTGTGGATAGGAATTTGGGGCTACTCACTGTCCGTTGCCTAAACACCTTGGGCTGATGGCTGGTAAATCCTGCCTCCTGGTTGGGGACAGCGATGGCTGATGATTCATTTCTGTCCCTTCGCAGTGCTGTGGGATGGGTCTGTCCCTCAGCAGCTGGGAAGCAAAGGTGATGATAGTCTTACCAGGACAGAGTGTGAGATCTCTTCATCAAGGGTAAAGGGTTAATTGTGATGATTGTTCCAATTGGACCTGTTATCTGTCCAGAGGTCCTGTCATCCACCTTACCCTTTTCATGGGTGAGGCACCCTCTTAGTTAAACCTTTGGCCAAACTGTTCCAAGCTATTGACTCACTGCACTGAGTACAGACCTCTGGTGACTTTACAGATGTATATATTGTCTGCGTGTTTGCTGATTAATTAATGAATAAACTCCAACATAAGATTTAAAGCAAATCAGTCCCCTGTTTTGCTCAGACTTGTAGACATGTCAAACACCTGCTGTCTCCAGCTGGCAGGCTCTTCAGCCTGACGCGGTGATGGAAACGGCCGAACAAAAGACTTGGGTGCAGCACAGTCTGGATACAAACACATGTACCAATGTGAATTATGCAGTGCTCGTGCAGGCTACCGAGAAAAGAAATGCAGTTCCCCATTGCGGGAAACGTGGGGTCTGCTGGGCTTTACGTGATCTGCCATAAACACATAGTCCACACTTAGACTCAAAAACCTGAGACTGCCTGAAGCTGGCTTTTATTTTTTGTTTGCCAAGTAATAGGGGGGAAAAGTGAGTGTGACTTTTTACGTGGAGTTCTGCAGGACCATCAGTTCACGTTCTGGGTGAAGCCGTGTGTTTTTGAGTTGTCTGCAATACGGGGAGCACGTATGTTCTTCTTTTCTTGGTTGCTGGCAGTGTTCTTGTTGAAAGTATCCAGCCAGTTAAACTTGTCTCAGCCTACCTGCTGGGTAGTAAAATATTAGGAGTGTTCCAGCAGAGTCTCTAGAAGCTAAAAAAGAAAAAGCCCACTTGGTGTCACTTTATTATGTCAAAACCACAAACTAGGGATCCATTGTCTACTAAGTGCTACTTCAGTGACTTCTATTTGGAGATTTTTGGATGTCTTTTGACTTCTTTGTAGCCCTTTTACTGGTAGATTAATTCACCATAATCATAGTCATAGCAAATTAGTATGTGAACCGGAGTGCAAATTTTTTAAACAAGTTATTCGAGTACCATGGAATTATAAATGCATAATATTACATGCTTCCAGTGGTATATGTCTAGCTGGTAGGTGTGCTGTTTTAATTAAATGTATTGGTTGTTTTGCAAATGGCACGTACTCCTTTCCATTTCCCAGTTTCAAGCCTGTCCGCTCCATCCTGTCTGTGGCGATGGTCAGTGATGGCGAGCGGTGAATCACTGTGAGTGTGACCTGGCTGTGATGTGCTGCAGGGAGCAGTTTTAAGGCAGCCACGTCTTTACTCCAGACTTGTTTACTGGTGTTTTTCTACCCAGCAGTCTCAAAGCTCGCTGTGACCTAGGCCCTTCCTTAGAGGAGAATTGCTGTTGATCTGGATGAAGTGTCATTTAATCCCCTTCCCTCGGTGATTCCCACGTGTGGCGTGCACGAGTGGTGCCGGTGCCCGGTGCTTTCTCAAGGAGATGAGTGAAAGCTCAGGGGAACCCTGCTCGTGGGTGCCCACTCGCTATCCTGGAGAGGAGAGGCGAGTCCCCCCTTCCTGTGGGAGAAGCCGTGGCACGGAGATCTGCCAGGGATTGTCCCTGCTGGGGAATCAACACAGCTCGGGAGCATGGCCCCCAAGCTGAAACTGCCACTTCTGAGCTCCCAGATGGGGAGGCAAGGGCAGTGGGGACCCACGGCAGGGGTGCTTGGGCCTTGGTGAAGAAATTCATCTGCTTCTGAGCTGCCGCTCCTCTGCAGGAGTCTGCCGACTTCAGCTTCCCTTCACGTTTCTAAAGAAAAACTGAAGTTGCCTTCCCATTCCCTTCCCTTCCCCAACCCAGGGAGAGGCTGGAAGCGCAGCCAGGGCTGCGGGGTAAGTGCTTTCCCAGGCAGCAGGGCTTCCCCGCCTCTTGCTCCTCTGCAGGGAGAAGCAGGAGGGAGTACTGTACCCGGCGCAGTTGTTCAGGGGCCAGCACTGGAAACCGTCCCTGGAAAGCCCTGCCACTGTTGGGTTGGCGGTGGGGCAGAGCCAGGAGCAGCTCCCGCACGGGTTAGCTCAGACTGGAGAGCGGGGCTGAAGGAGGGCTTCCAGCAGCAGCCACGGCTCGTGTTGCTCCAAAGCATGTTCATTGAAGGAGGCTCTTCTGGGGGCTGCAGAAAGCCCCTGCCCGGCTTACACGCACAGAAAGGCACGTGCGCGTGGTTTTAGTCATGCTGTCCTGCTCTGCAGAGGAGGGAGGCAGTAAGGGGAAACTTCTGCTCCCCTTTGTTTGCTATGTGCCTCAGTTTCCCCTTCTGCAGAGCAGGTAGTGCTTCAGGGCTTTGTCTGAAGTGGGGGGCTGTTGCCCAAATGAGGGGTGCACTTTGGTGCCTCAAACTTCTCTTGCCTTTCAAAGGATTAAGAGAAACTGGTTCCACCCCACCTACCCGCCTCTGACACGTTACCTGATGAAATAAATAAAATAAAATACCATGGGTAAAACACTCCCGAGTGTTTCGCAGCTTCCCATGTTCTGATGTGGGTCTTTGGGCAATTACAGTCACAAGTTGCTGCCTTTAAGTGTGTTTTTTTTCTCTTGCTACTGACAAACCCCTGACAATTGACTATACGTGGGATGCTGTAGGATGACTAAGTATAAGGTTGTGCCAAATGAGAAATTAAACTGACTAAAGCAGAAAAAAATATTGTTCATTTGTAATAATCATGGGCATGAAAGTCAGTGATAGCGAATAAGTTACTTTTAGACAGAAATGTGAGTTATTTTTGTTGCAAAGTTGGCTGCATCCCTTCTTTTCCATGCCAGGAATATGCAGAGTCGCAGGCAAGTGCCAAGTGATGGTGCTGGTCCCATACATTGTACTGGCAGTTCTGAAGCCCGCTGTGGCCAGGACCTGGCTGGGGAGGGAGAGGGGCTGGGAGGTTAGCCTTCCTCCCCAAGGCTGGGGTGGCGGCCGGCATCTTCACCTGCGGCGCGGTTCCTTGGCACTCTGTAGCCCGGTGCTGCTTCAGGGCTGCTTCGCTCACCCCTGGAAGCCGAGCTCGGCACTCCTCTCTGGTCCCCACAGAAACTGTGAGGTCTGCTTTGCTTAGAGCATGGTGGGCTGGCATCCATCCCCTTGGGCTGGCCAGGGTTTGGCGTGGGCACTGGGGATCTGTCCCCAGCAGCAGCTTCTTTGTGTCTCGGAGCTCGCAACCCCTGTGCCGTGGTGCCCAGCACTGGTGTCACAGACAAGACTTGCCCCAGGCTGCGTGCCTGAGGCCGTAAGTAGGGATGTCAGAAGCAGGTAACTGTGTAGCATCATCGTTGTTGTAAAAATGGCTTCTTCACAGCATTTTCTTTCTGTGGCTCAATACATTGGTGTTTTTGTAATCTCTCCTGCTCGCTGCGCTCTGCTATGTGTGTGGTAATGCAAAACTATGTATTTCCCCCTGTTCTTTGATCTTCTCTTGCAATTATATATCAAATGGAGTTTGAGAAATGTCAAGTTGAGGCTCTTTTTATTAATATACAAGTGCTGCAATGGTGTAAACTGTCCTTTGAAGCTGGAAGAGCTTTGAGTTCTCATGCAAATGTTGTATACATGGTTTTGAACTTTATTTCTGTAGTGCATAAAAGTTTTGCAGATTGCTTCTGACTTTGCATGTCAGTTATCCAGCCTCCCCAGGCAGTGCAAGCGTTTTATCCCGGAAGGCTAATGTTATAAAGGAATGTGTAGAGGCGTCTATGCCTGCGAAGCACACAGCAGTCTGTAACAAAAGGGGCTGGGTGGGCTTTTTCCCTAGCATGGGTGAGAATAGGGGACCCAAGGAAGGTCCTGACATCATGCTCTTCCCTGCAGGTCTGGCACCGCGGTGCTGTGTGTGGGAATTTGCTTGTCGGCTCAGGGGACTCTGAAGCCTCAGCGTGGCAGACCTGTTCTGGACAAGTTTCTGTGCTGTTGTTAGAGGTGGTGCTTGAGGGTTTAGTTCTTTGGAGTGTAGAAAGGAGAATGTTGACAGAACATGGTATATTAATGAGATTAAAGCAGCCTTGGAGTGGTCGGTCTGCCCAGTTGCTGCAGAAAGCCTGTGTGCTGGTTCATGTCTGTAGAGACAAAGGCTTGAATCTGTTACTACAGTATGTTACACCCAGATATTGGTTTTTGCCTATGTCCGAACAAACCTAAAGCTCCTCTGGAAAAGGAGGAAGAAGAACGAGTCTGTCCCACGCGTGCCCTTCTGCTGGCACAAGAAAGGCTGCAGCTCTCCAGGCAAACATTAGCTCTGCACTCCAGGCAGAGCTTGGCATTGAGGCGTCTGCATTAAAAATATCCTGTCCCACAAAGACAGCTTAGTTGTGAGCCAGCATATGGCACAGTAATGAAGATGTGCATAGAAATTCTCCGTGTGGATGCACAGAGGCCTTCTGTCTCATGGAAAGCCGTTCATTAAACTGCCCAGTATAGCCAGGGGAATCTGGAGTCCAAACAAGACTTGTATAAGCAGTTTCTCTGATGCCACTGGCTGGGCAAGTGTGAAGAGGTTGCTCGTGTGCCCAGGTTGGTAATGGAGCTGCCACTGAGCAGATCTGACTTACTGAAAGTTGGTCTATCCTCTTCTTTCTCCTCCGGTTGTATCCTGCACTCTCCTGATGCTGTGCCACAGCAACAGTCGGTACCTGAGCCTTGGCTTCAATGGATGCAGGATCAGACACTGTACCAGTAGGCACAACTCTCAGAACAAATTGGCCCTGGCTGGGTATAATCAGCTAGGTATAATCTTGGTGACCTCATTAGCTTGGCTGGTCTGCTGTCCCTGCATTTGGACGTGGCATTTATCATTACACCAGCTTAGGGGGAACCTGAGCCTGGACCCGCAGACGGAGCAAGGGACTGAACACTCCTGCCTGGTGCAGGGCTGAGCTCAGCTGGGTGTCAGCCCCACTGCCTTGTCAGTCACCTTCCAAATGAAGGATGTTGGGGAAAGCATCGCAGAGAAGAAACACAGATGCAGATCTGTTGCTTGTTCCCTGACTCTTTCTCACTGAAGTATCATTAAAGTCTTTTGTTTCACTGTGGATCTGGTTTTCCACCCGTGCTGGTGGGGCTGGAAGGAGCTGCCGTGGGCTGACTCTCCAGAAGGGGGTGGCTCACTGCTGAAGGGGTACCTTCCCCCTTGCTCCTGGAGCACATTACACCATTGCAGCAAGTGTTAAGCTGTTTCTGGACTTCAGTAGGGGAAAAATGACTTGCTGGAAAATACATCACTGCCATCTAGCCATAATGTATTCTCCTTGTACTTGTCTGCTCCTTGCTGGTCTTCTCCGTCCTCACTGGGGGTTTCATCCAGTAAGAGCTCCAGTTACTGCTGTTAACTTTTAAAATTTTCTCCTAACTTCTCAGCTTGAGTTGTCTGAAGAGACATCAGACCTATATCCAGCTTAAAAACAATTGATTGCTTTAGGTGATGTTGTGCACACCTAGGTACCTCCTAGATCTAAACCAATTATGCTCAGTTAAAGACATTGAGGACATGCTAATTTAACCAGGAACCGTGATCCGCTGCAAAAGAGAAGCATGTAGTAACAGAATGCAAATGTCTTCTTGAGGATTTTGAGACCTATGTGCTCCTGAGTATCACTGTGCTGCAGCACTGCCGGCTGTGGTTCGAACCATCTCATGGCAAGGGTGATAGCAGGAACACCTGGAAGCTGTTCATACAGAGACCTTGGGAGGCCTTGAGCAGATAAACTCTGTGTGTGTGTATATCTGTATGTGGGAGAGACCACAGTATTCTGCAGTACTGGTAACACACAATACCATTTACAGAAGTGATACTGGAAGTACTCTGGCATCATTGATCTAATAGGATGTGAATAACAGTATCGACCAAATGTGATTCTTTCCACTGAATAAAATCATATAACTTTTTTTCTTCTGTGGGCATGTGTCTCTGCCTTTGAGTGGAGTGGGAATTCAGATTCCCCGTCCCCTGCAGCAGCTCCGAAGCAGTGCTCAACTTGCAAAAAAAGTTTCTTTGTATGTCAACGCAGTGGACTTCAGCTCCCGTGCCACCAGGACTGGTGTCTCTGGCAAGCATCTGCATTCTGTGGGCATCCTCAGGACAGGTAGGACGAGGGGAGTCTCTTTGCAGCCAGCAGGCGATGAAGCAGTTCATTTTCCTGGGCTGTAGGCACCGTGCACAGAATCTAGGGCCCCAAGTTGGTGCAAATCTAAAACAGATGTGCTTTAACCAGAAACTAAAAAACAATAGCAAAAAAAAAAAAGAACAAAAAAAGCCAACTCTCTCCGCAACCGCCAAAGCTGTATCTTCAGTTGCAGGCAGGAAAGATGAGGAGCATGCACGGTATCTGCCCACTCCGGTTGCAAGGCGTATCTTACCCCGTGTTTCAGGGCTCGTTGATGTGTGTTTGTTAGATTTCGCTCCAGGGCAGAGCGATTTGCTCACCCGGTGCGTGGGTGCTGTCGTGTTCGCTTTGCCATGTGGCTGACGCACCCGCACCAGGCTGGGTGGCTGCACAGCGGTGGTTCCCACGTGAGCTGCGTGGTGCCGGGCTCTGCGGGGAGCGCCGGGGCGGCCTCGCTCCCCTCCCTGCCTGAGCCAGGTCTGCCCCCCCCACTGGGTCGCTGGGGATCCCAGCCTCCTCCCCAGGAACTGCTGGCTTCTGCTGATTACAGCTGCTCTGTCCGTGTCCTTGTCACCCGCACGAGAGGTGCTCAGGCCTTGGTTTGCTGATAGGAAGCCCAGGGCAGAAACATCAGCTGGGGTCACTTGCCGCCCCCCCGGCCCCTGCTGCAGCAGCACCGCACGCCACCCCTCTCCCTGCCAGCACAGGGGTGGGTGAACAGGCTGTGAACCAGCCCTGGTCTGCCTTAAAACAAACCAATGTGCAATATTTTGTGATGGCTTTTTCCAGCCCGAACAGCGCCCCGATACTCTTCCTGAGAACTTTCCTGCATACGTGGGCACAAAGGTCCAGGGCAAGAAGTTAAGTTGTTTTCATGTGTTTAAGTATACTTTTTCTTCTGTCACACATAAGACATACAGAGAGCTTTTCATCCATCCTCTGTTGCCTTTCCGGGCTCCTTCCCTGGGAGGATGTGGGTGTTATCCATGTTTTGTAATGTGTCTGACAGCCCACGGGCTCACAGCAGCGCTGCTGCTGACCAGAGTTTCCTCTTGAGTCACCGTGTGAAGACTCAGCTTTTCTGGCTTTTTTTTCTTGAAAATTTTTGGAATATTTTATTTATTCATTCTGTTGGTAGCACACTGGTAACTACACATGTGGCATCCCACGTTCGCCCACAAGCTTTTCATGGGTGGCTTCTGTCCCGCTGTGTGCCAGCCCAGCTTTGGGAAGCGGCAACAGCACCCAGCTGGTTCCGCAGCCAGAAACTGCCCCGTGGCATGGTCCTGGCTGCACTGCTCCTTGGCCTTGTGCTGCATTGTACCTACCTAAAGAACATGGCTCTAGGACCGATCTCTGGCTGCCCGGCCATGGATCTGGTCTGCAAGGAGGAGCTGGAGTGTCAAGATTGCCCGTTGCTCCAGAGGGGAAAGGTATGAGAGCATGCCATGGATGCTGGGCTGCGGCACCGCGCACTGCCGAAGCGGTGCCTTCGCTGCCAGGAGCACTGCCCTTCAGCATGGCCTTTGAGATGTACAGAGTTTCTATGCAGTTTGAAGAACTGTGAGGTTTGCAGGCAAAAAGGACAAACTTCTATCTTGCAATCAAGCAGTGCTATTTTACAGACGTTGAACACGCCAAAATGAAAGCTCCTTTGAAACTGCTAGTGAAATTTAGCAGGCAGCAGTTATTTTTCTTACTAAGCATTAAATCAGTGTTTCAAAAGTGTAAACCTTTTATTTGGGTTTCTGCTATGTATGCAGAGAAAAGCTTTTGGAAATGTCTTATTTTTGTTTTGGTGATGGTGAACTTTTCCTCATTGGCTTTTGTTTTGCCTTGCAGACTCCTCACCGCTTTCGGCTGAGCTCCTCCTTTAGGAGTGGCGATCCCCAGGTCGTGTTGGCTTTTCCTTTCTGGGGAACGTTCGAAAACTGCCTTCGTGGCTGGTGTCGGTTTTTGTCACCGAATTCTCCATGCAGGTGAATGTGCAGTCACGAGTTGTTCAAATGACGATAAGAGCAGCTGAATAGCCTGTGGTACAGTTTATAAATATAAGTAAAGCCCACAATTCACGTTACTTTCTGCAGTCTGTTCTCTCTCCTTTTTTTATCCTGTTCCTCCAGCCAAGGCTGATTATGAAGTGCTGAGGCTAGATAT